TCACCACTTCTCTGTCGCCGGTTTTAGTGGAAAATATTTTAATTTTCCTTCTCTGACAAGTTTCTGCCTTACACAAGTTCTGGCTTTTGCAGATTTTACTGTATTGTGTTAATATAGAATAATAATCATAATAAAATATTTTACTGTTATAATATTTATGTAATTGTAATAAGTAACCTAAGGAGACAGAACATGCTAATATATTAAGTTAAAGATCAGAATTTGAAGCTTAATATGAACACAAGAAAATTGAAAACCTAAGTAATAAATTATCATAAAAAGTTAGTTTTGAAAGATACCTTAAAGACAGTGTAATTCAACCTTCTAGTTATACAAATGAGAAAACTTAAGCTCAGAGGCATGAAATTATGAAACCTCATAATAAACTCCCTATACCCCAGAATGTTTTCTTGTTCTCACTTGTGTATGACAGCCCATTTCCTGTCCAAAGGAGGTGGAGAACCGCTGGCCATTAATCTCAGCACTGCCTTATGGTCATTATTAAAGGATCTGCTCTCAGAATTACATTGTCAGAGGAGGGAGTCACATCATTTGAATAAGAACTGGTCTACTGAAAGACAAAAAGCCCACCTTTAGACTGTCTAAAGTGCCCCTCCCTACAAGATAATGGAAGTATTGGGAGACTGTATCAGTTTAAGTAAGAGAAAAGTCTAAGGGTAGATCTTCAGCACGAAGACTTTTGTACGGCTGAATCCAGAGGTTCAAAGTCTGTCCTTACTACTTAGGCTGTCTTCACCCCCTGGCTCATCTTTCCTTTGGGTTAGCTTCGTTCTCAGCAAGGCTCTTTCCCAGGACATTGGAGAAAAAATAAAATAAAAATAGAGCTAGGGGTTCTGATTAGTGGTAAGGAAGAGAGGTTATGTTAGAGTAGAACTTTTTATCTGGCCTTCTTCAAAACTTTTGCAGTAGCTCAAGTAGGATGTTGTTTACAGATGATGGGGGAGACAGCATTAGCTGTTGTGACCCCAGATGAAGCTGTCATGTTCTGGAGGGCTCAGAACTTTGAGTGTTCATGATGTTTATACAAACTCTGACTGCTCTACTGGTATCTGAGCAAGAACAAAGCTTGAAAAAAATATGGAGCTAGGAAATAACTGGGAAGTTATGAATAACTGTTAATAAGATACAATAGAAGGTCAACCAGAGTGGGTCTGGGGCAGTGGTTTACCATGGTTGAACGTGGAAGAAGCAGTTAGGGCCAGCAGGGCTAGAGGGAAATCTGGTGGTCCTGGAGGCAAACCAGAGAGTAGGGTGTGTGCCCTATAGGGGCCTGAGCACAGCGCAGAAGCTCGCCACGCTCTCATCTGTGCATTCCAGTCTTTAAGTCTTTGGGTATATACCAAGGAAGTTCTGGAAGAGATGCAGGATGTGGCAACAATAGGCAAGGGCCTCCGAGTAGCCAGTCCATCATTGTTAAAGTTTGTGATAAAATGTAAGACTTGTTTGGCAGATTTCTATTTTGGTTCTATTTGGTCGTATTCATTTATTTCTGTGGTTCTCTCAGCTTAGGAAGATCTTCCCCCAGATTGCTGAAAATCTCATTTCCTCACCCCTTCCCAATGCGGGGATCCTTTCAAGGTGGGGATTCCATCAACAATTGTACATTCTGAAATTGGGAAAATGACCACAGGACTTGTTTGAGAACCCACTGGGGCTCATTTTTGGGACAGACTCGCACTAAAACTCCATCAATCTCCTGATCTCTATAAGCCCCACTAACTGGTAGACCACGGTGGTGCTTTGGGTTTCTAAGAATTAGTGTCAGTGTCCAGTCATCCCCCCAAAGTGTGGTTACCCCCCTCTCCCCATTGCAGTTACCCAGGTAGATGGCTGCAGGCCCCTCTGGGAAAGATAAGAGGAAGATCCACATTGGACATTTTGGCTGTATATTAAGACCCTTCCTTTAGGGGACCTAGCCTCCCCTTTATTCCTTAGCTTCTGGGTCTGTGAACTGACTCAAGTCTGAGAATCTGTTGAGGTGCTATGACTTTCTGTTATGGAGAGACAAGTCAGATTTTTGTTCACTTGATCCAGAGCTTTTCTACTTCTAAAAATAAACTAGTAGGCTCCCCAGTCTGTCTCACTTCCAGATCTTGATTAAGTAGCCAATGCCAAGGATCTCTGTGGGTCAGATCATTTCATACAGCTTCAGTTCTACTGCCCACATGCTAACAGCACTCATTTTGTCCCTCCGTATTAAGTGCTGCCACTTGCCCCGGCCATCCCAAGATCCCATCTTCCCTGTGAATTCAGGAGATCCAGTTTGACGGCAGTAGTTCCCTGCCCTTCCTGGCCGACACCATTGGACTCTTCGGGGGGTGCCAGGGCCTCCTCATGAATGCATTTCTCACAGCCTTGGTGGAGGGAGTGTCCATAGTTTGGGGATGGGTTAAACAGGTCTTACACAATAAATCAACTGTAGCATTTTAGTCTCTCTGAGTCTTTGGATATATACCAAGGAAGTTCTGATATTTCAACTTCACTTAGTACAGGCCACTTTTGGGAACAGATTTCAGTCAACCAACTAGGTAAACTATTCAAGTCACTTCCGGCTACTACCACACTAAATCCAAAATCTCTGCTCAGTGCACCCCTGTCGACAAATTTGCCCCGATCCAAAATTTGTATTTCTTCTACCCTGTATGAGCACCCTTGAAGTCCATTCTCACTGGTTTCCCAGGTTACAAATTGGCTTAATCCTGTAATTCTTTCTGGTATGTACGGCACCTCCTGATGAGTCACCCTTTATATTTCCTTTTCTGGGACCTGCCTGGACTTCAGTCTGTTTGCAGTTCAGAAGCAGAGAGAGGTGGTAGATGAGACAGCTACCTCAGGGGAGGCTAGACAGACTTCAGGTATTCAAGGTATTATGCCTTACTGGACTCTGTCCATGTCCCCATCTCAGGGAAGCCTTCCCTGACCATCCTATTCAAATTGCAACCCTCTCTCTCCAGAGATACTCACTGTTAAGCCTTCCCTGATCTGGCTTTCTGCACAGCACTTTCTGCTGTTCACCACACTGGATATATTACCTGTTTCTTCTCTTACGTACCAGTCCAGTTGCTGTCCAGTTGACTCTCACTCATGATGATCCTATGCTTGTCAGAGTAGAACAGAGTAGAACCCTGCAGAGCAGGGTTTTCAATGGCAATTTTTTTGGAAGTATATCACCAAGCCTTTCTCACAAGGTACCTCTGGGTGGACTTGAACCACCAATCTTTTGGTTAGCAGCCAAGCATGTTAATTGTTTACACTACCCAGAGACTCCCATTCTCTTCCAACTAGAATGTAAGTTTCTTGAGAACAGGTATTTTGTTGACTTTTGTATCAAGGATTTCATTTTACTTGGATATACAATCAACGTCCGTGGAAACAGCAGTCAGTAAATCAAAAGATGCATTGCATTGGGCAAATATGCTGCAAAAGACTTCTCTAAAGTATTCAGAAGCAAAGATGTCACCTTGAAGACTAAGGTGCGCCTGACCCCAGCCATGGTGTTTTCAATAGCCTCATATACCTGTGAAAGCTGGACAATGAATAAGGAAAACCGAAGAAGAATTGACACCTTTGAATTATGGTGTTGGTGAAGAATATTGAATATACCATGGACTGCCAGAAGAACCAACAAATCTGTCTTGGAAGAAGTACATCCAGAATGCTCCTTAGAAGCAAGGATGGTGAGACTTTGTTTTGGACATGTTATCAGGAGGAATCAGTCCCTGGAGAAAGACATCCTGCTTGGTAAAGTAGAGGGTCAGCAAAAAGAGGAAGACCCTCAACGAGATGGATTGACACAGTGGCTGCAAGGGCTCAAACAAAACAATGATCACGAGAATGGTGCAGGACTGGGCAGTGTTTCATTCTGTTGTACATGGGGTTGCTATGAGTCGGAACCTACTGGATGGCACCTAACAACAACAATACATATCTTTATTTTCTAGAAGAGTGCCTGCATATACTAGATTGTCAGTACGTGTTTATCGAATGGTTGATCGATTGATTGGTTCATTCAGTTCTTTCATTTATTTTTTTCATTACATAGATACTTGTTGAGTATAATGAGCAAGAATCACAGCAAGTGATAGACCTTTAGGTGTGAAAAATATCTGACTGTTCAGGAAACAGGTGGCAGGGTTGTGTGCAGTGAGGGTAGGTAGAGAAGGATGTTGAGAGATGACGTTTCAGAGGCAGACAATAACCACATTTTGTAGGGCACGGGAGGCCATTGCATAGAGTTTGTCTATTATATGTCTCCACTGAGGGCAGTGGGAAGCCTCAGAAGTATCCTAAGCAAGGGAGTGACAGAATCTTGTTTTATTTTTAAAATTTAGAATGCTTGTTGTTTGCAGAATAGGTATGGAGAAGGCAGGCTTGGTAGCAGGGGGATGAGTTAGAAGACAAGAATGGTAGCTTGGACTGGGGTGGTGGCTAAGGCTTAGCATCCACCTTCTCCACACATGTATCACTCTGTTCTCAGTTGACCCTGATGAAGCCTCGTGCTGCAGCCCTGGCTCCTGTTCTCAGAGCAAGGCTGAGCTTAAGATTTGGAAGGTGGTAGCCACATCAGTGGAAATAAGCAGATAGCAGTAACTGATGCATTGAGGAACTCTGTTTCTTCCCTTGCAGTGCATACTGTTGACTTTTCTAGCGTCTTACAGTGTTTCATTCTGTTAACACACTTTGGTACTAGTCCTACTGATCAAGTTACCTGGTATATTAAGCTGACTTGTAATTTTTATTATTTTGATATTTTAATAGAAATAAACAGCATAGATGCAAGTAAATCACAGCAATCTTAATTTTCAATCTGTTGTCTTTTATAATAAATTATAATATTTAAATCATGTTCTGTAAAAGTATAATGAACTGCTGGCATATAAATTCATACATATTGATTGTGTATTTTATAAATGAAAGAATTTTTATTATATTTTATTTTATTATATTTAACTATGTACCTTCTTATTTTTTATTCAAAGTACCAAGATACAAACATGCAGGGAGTTGTATATGAACTCAACAGCTACATAGAACAGCGGTTGGATGCTGGAGGAGACAACCAGCTACTCCTCTATGAGCTGAGTAGCATCATCAAAATAGGTAGGGAATGTTTCCTGTCCCTCTTAGTGGAAAGTTGAAGCAAAGTTTCTCTGATGCCATTGTAAAAAGTGACAAACGTAATTTAGTCGCTGACAGGTAAATGCAAATTATTTATTTACTTCTTTTGTTCCATCAAGCTTAAAGTGAAAATATTTTACTAAGAAGCTACCAGAATGAGTCAAACCTAAAAATTCCTAAATTATCTAATTCCAAGTAAGTATTTGCATGATGCACAAGTGGAATTACTGTACCTTCTAATTAATACCTAGTCCTGTTTTAAAAGTATACTTTCATTGAATGAAATCGCGTCTTTATAAAGCAATTTATTAATTTCTGAGGAAGAATAAACATTGTAAATTTATTTGGGGAGATGACAACTTTATGCACTGGGTAAGAAACGAATGACTGTGTAGTGAATGGAATGGGGCAAGTTTCAGAAGCATGCACTTCATTAAGACAATTGTTTAGTGGGATACCTACTATGGAAATGTTATATTTTGGTTTTTTATTTGGAAATCAAAATACTCATGACACAAATGTTAATAATACTTTATTATGTACTTAATTGTATGCCAAGCACTTTTCTATACATATTATATGTACTAACTCACTCACTCTCATTACATCCTTATGAGGTAGGTACTGTTAATATCACCATTTCTCTGATGAGGAAGCTGTGACACAGAAGAGTTAAAAGTATCTTACTCAAGGACGCGCAGACTAAAAGGAGATGTTGTTGTTGTTAGTTGCAGACAAGGTCCAGTAGATCCTGGCTTAGGAGGACCCCATGAACAGGCGTTAAGTGGGGGTTTAAATTAAGGCAATTTCCCTAAGACTTATGCTGTTAATTGCTATGGTAATGGTCTTCCAGAAGACCCTGAAGCAGTTTCAGAAAAGTTACAATGTTTTCTATTCAGTGACGATATGTAAATATACATATCATCCTTTTTAGTTGATGTTTATATTAGTTATAGAATATAAATACCACTTTTGATGTTTTTAGTACTTTAAAAACTAAATACAATTCTCAGCTCTTAAAAATATGTTATTATATAGTACACTGAGTGCTATATGCTTTTTAGGATGGCGCATCTTAAAATCTGGAGTACCTGATGAAGACTGTATGAAACTGTTATAATTATGTTATTGAGTAAAGCCATAAATTATTTTGTTTCATTTACTGCGCAACCATTGATTATGTTAAAATATCCATTCAAAAGACTCATATCTGAAGTCTCACCTTAGAGAATTCATACATGGTATATTCTTCCATTGAGATTAGTTTCTTCCTTTTTTTTATTACTTTGGCAGCCACAAAAGCTGATGGATTTGCACTGTATTTCCTTGGAGAGTGCAATAATGTAAGTATCTAAATTTAGCTTTTGGTGCTCTAGATAAGAAAATACTGCAAGCTTTTTAAAAGACAGACAATTCTGTTACAGACAATTTGATAGATGTATCATAATTGAGTATTTTAAACTTATTTTGTGTTTTATTTGTACGTGTGGTCATTAGCAGCCAAGGATTTTACTAATGTGTCAGCATTTAGGTATAAAACGTTATAATTTCTTTTGTTTTTTTGGTTTTGGTTTGAGGTCTCCTATAGTACAAATAGGAGCCCTGGTGGCGTAGTGGTTAAGAGCTCGGCTGCTAACCAAAGGTTGGCATTGGAATTCACCAGCTGCTCCTTGAAACCCTATGGGGTGGTTCTGCTCTGTCCTGTAGGGTCACTGTGAGTCGGAACTGACTCAGTGGCAACGGGTAATGAGGTATATTATGAACGGCATTCCTGGACTTTATTGTTTCATACAAAGGATTTCAACTGGGCTGCCACAGTGGAGAGACTTTTACGCACAATCTCTAGTGGGATAAAATGAGGACAGAAATCCAGCATGTTTTATGGGATTTTTCAGGCTTTTTAAAATGACTCTAAAGGCACACAGAGTTCCTAAGTCTAGACCCTGGGGCTGCCGTGTTCCCAGCTCAGGGATCCTCAGGTGTGGTTTCCAGCTCCTCATCAGAGAAGGACGCTGGGTTTCTAGTTTAACTTACTCAGAGCACACTGGTCAAATGCGGCATACATAGGCATTTACAGTTTTTTTCAAGATGTTCAATTACTGGCACTTGATTTTTGTTACAGTGTCAAAAAACATATACAGTAAAACTTGTGAAAGTCACAGGTTGTGTAAGGCAGAAGCCTGTCAGAGAAGGAAAACTCAAATATCTTCCACTAAAACGAGCGATAGAAAAGTGGTAAGACTGCACCCTGACAAAGGCTGAAAACTCGCGAGACCTGGAAAAACAAAGCAGTCTCATCGAGTTCCAGCTCTCACAGGTTTTACTGTGTAACATATTTTAGCATAATATTCTGGGCCAATGATACTTACATTCATAGCATAACTATGTAAAATCCACTTACATATTTACATGAAAAATATTTACTCTGTATTTTTAATGTGTTAGCCATTGTGATTTAAGACTTGTGATTTATTTCTGCAGTATGATCCAAGTATTTGTTTTCTTCAATAATCAAAATAGATACTGCTTACATTAATTCAGAACATTTTTATTGGGCAGTACCACATGCCACCACCCCTCATCTGTCAGAGTGTCGTACTGTGGTAACTTGCGTGTTGGTGTGATTCTGGAAGCTATGCCACCGGTATTTCAAATACCAGCCAGATCACAGGTTTCAGGGGAGCTTCCAGACTAAGATAGCCTGGGAAGAAGGACCTGGTGACCTACTTCTGAAAAACTGGCCAGTGAAAACTTTATGGATAGCAGCAGAACATTGTCTGATATAGTGCCGGAAGATGAACCCCTTAGGTTGGAAGGCAGTCAAAATATGATGGGGAAGAGCTGCCTCCTCAAAGTAGAATCAACCCTAACAATGTGGATGGAGTCAAGCTTTCAGGACCTTCATTTGCTGATGTGGCAGGACTCGAAATGAGAAAAAACAGCTGCAAACATCCATTAATAATAGGAATGTGGAATGTAAGAGGTATGAGTCAAGGAAAATTGAAGGCTTTGGCAAAAAACAAGGCTCCAGGAGTTGATGTTTCAACAAACAGATGCAGCGCTGGAAGCACTCACTTGTCTTATGTCAAGAAATCTGGAAGACGGCTACCTGGCCAACGGACTGGAAGAGACCCATATACATGCCTATTCCGAAGAAAGATGAACCAACGGAATGCAGAAATTTTCAAACAATATCATTAATGTCACACGCAAGTAAAATTTTGCTGAAGATCATTCAAAAATGGTTGTAGCAGTACGTCAACAAGGACCTGCCAGAAATTCAAGCCGGATTCAGAAGAGGACCTGGGAAAAGGGATATGATTGCTGATGTCAGATGGACCTTGGCTGAAAGCAGAGAATACCAGAAGGATGTCTACCTGTGTTTTATTGACTATGCAAAGGCATTTGATTGTGTGGATCATAACAACTTATGGATAACATTGCAAAGAATGAGAATTCCGGAACACTTAATTGTGCTCATGAGGAACCTGTACATAGACCAAGAGGCAATCCTTTGAACAGAGCAAGAGGATACTGCATGGTTTAAAGTCAGGAAAGGTGTGCATCAGAGTTGTATCCTTTAACTGTACTTATTCAATCTGTATGCTTAGCAAATAATCAAGAGAAGGTAGAGTATATGAAGAAGAATGGGGCATCAGGATTGGATGAAGATTCGTTAACAACCTACATTATGCAGATGACACAACCTTGCTTGCTCAAAGTGAAGAGACTTAAAGCACTTGAAAATACCACAGCCTTCAGTGTGGATTACACCTTAACATAAAGAAAACAAAAATCCTCACAAATTGGCCAGTAAGCAACGTCATGATAAACAGAGAAAAGATTAAAGTTATCAAGGATTTTATTTTACTTGGATCCACAATCAATGCTCATGGAAGCAGCAGTCAAGAATTCAAATGACATATTGCATTGGGCAAATGTGCTGCAAAAGACCTCTTTAAAGTATTAAAAAAACAGAGATGTCACCCTGAGGACTGAAATATGCCTGACCCAAGCCATGGTATTTTCGGTTGCCTCATATGCATGTGAAAGATGGACAATGAATAAGGAAGACCGAAGAAGAATTGATGCCTTTGAATTATGGTGTTGGTGAAAAATAGTGAATATAACCATGGACTGCTGTAAAGATAAACAAATCTATTTTGGTAAAGTAGGGGATCAGTGAAAAAGAGGAAGACCCTCAAGGAGATGGTCTGACACAGTGGCTGCAATAATGGGCTCAAACATAGCAATGATTGCGAGGATGGCGCAGGACAGGACAGTGTTTTGGTCTGTTGCACATGGGGTCACTATGAGTTGGAACCAACTTGAGGGCACCTAACAACAACAACCCACATGCCAGACACTGTTCCAGGTCCTGGAGACACTGTAGTGAATTAAGCAAAGTGTCTGCCCTCTTGGGATTTACAATTAATTTAGTCCGTGGAGGTAGAAAAAGAAAATTTTTATACACCAGGTAATTGCAGGACACCACAGATAAACCATTAGCTAATCTGACTCACAAGAAGGAGAAAACACAAATATATGTTTCAATAATTAAATAATTATTTAATAATTAAAAAGAAAGTGAAACAACAGATAGAATAGAAGTAGCAAATTCTAAGGGGATACTTAATAAATTTGTAAGTACAGCCAGAATGCTCCTCAGAAGGGAGGACAGTGATACTTTGTCTCACATACTTTGGACATGTTATCAAGAGGGATCAGTCCCTGGAGAAGGACATCATGCTTGGTAAAGTAGAGGGTCAGCAAAAGAGAGGAAGACCCTCAACGAGATGGATCAACCCAGTGGCTGCAACGATGGGCTCAAAAATAGCACAATTGTGAGGATGACGCAAGACCCGGTGGTGTGTAGTTCTGGTGTACATAGGGTCGCTATGAATCGTAACTGACTGGACAGCATCTAACAACAACAAACTTAATGTGAAAATCTAGATAAAACGAGCAATTTTCAAGGTAAATATAAATGACCCGATTTGATGCAAATGACGACAGAAAACCAAATAGGTCGCTATCCATGAAAGAGACAGAAAACAGTGTTAAAGTACTACTTTTCTAAAAAGGAGTGGGACAGACATCTAAAAACATCAGCAAGATGCTTTTGAGCACTGACCATGTCAGGCAGTGTGCCAAACCCAGGAAGAGATGGCCAGACAGGTGAATTCTATGTTTACCTTTACATTTCAGTGTGGTCACCCTTCAGGAAAAGAAGGAAAGCTTCTCCATAAAGCAGAATTTTGGTTCTGGAGTTGGATTCTATGAGTTCTGATCCACTAGTTATTAATTGTGTGACTTCGGGCAAACCTCTTAAACTTTCTAAAACTTGCTTTCACCTCCATTGGTCAAATGTTATGTCACAAATGTCATTCACTCAGTGAACCGCTTTTAAACATTGGCTATGTCCCCAAAACCTGTACCAAGTCCTGGGCATACAGAGATAATAAAAACTGTTTCCTTTATCAAAAAATGTACAAGCAAATAGGCAATAGATAAGTGGTATCTTGGGTGAAGGGTGAGACAGTACAAAATACAGGGGAAACCAGCACAACTTGTACAAGGAAAGGTCATGGAAGCCCCATAGACACATCCAGACTCCATGAGAGACTGAATTGCTGGGTGGAGGGCTGTGGGGACCATGGTCTCGGGGAACATCTAGCTCGATTGGCATAACACGGTTTGTGGGGACAATGTTCTACATTCTACCTTGGTGAGTGGCGTCTGGGGTCTTAGAGGCCTGTGAGCAGCCATCTGGGATGCTCCACTGGTCTCATCCCTTCGGGAGCAAGGGAGAATGAAGAGAACAGAATACAAGGAAAAGATTAGTCTAAAGGACTAATGGACCACAGCTACCAAGGCCTCCACCAGACTGAATCCAGTACAGCTAGATGGTGCCTGGCTACCACCACTGACTGCTCTGACTAGGATCACAGCAGAGGGTTCTGGACAGAGCTGGAGAAGGATATAGAACATAATTCTAACTCACAAAAAAAAAGACCAGATTTACTAGCCTAAAGGAGACTGGAGAAACCCTGAGAGTATGGCCCCCAGACACCCTTTTAGCTCAGCGGTGAGGTCATTTCTGGGGTTCACCGTTCAGCCCGGGAGTGGACAGCCCCATAGAACCAAATGGGACTAATGAGGCACAGCAGTCCAGGGACAAAGGCCAGAAGGCAGAGGGGGACAGGAAAGCTGGTGATAGGGAACCCAAGGTTGAGTAAGGATAGTGTTGATGTGTTATGAGGTTGTTAACCATTGTCATAGGGCAACATGTATACTAACTGTTAAATGAGAAACTATTTTGTTCTATGGGCCTTCATCTAAA